TTGGGAGCGGTAAGGCGCCCCTGGCCGGTGGCGCGTCTCTCGCCTTCTCCCCCGTCGACCCGTCCACCTTTGTGTCGGGCTTCGAGGCGGGGCAGCTCCTCAAGTGCGGCCTGCACGCCAACGAGGCGCGCTCCTCCGAGAGCGTGCAAGCGCCGCGCGGCGGGCCGGAAGGGGGAGGGCTGCGCTGGGCGCCCGAGGCGGCGACCCTGCTGACGCGGGTGGGCCGCTCGCACTTTGAGCGGCTCAAGGAGCGCGTCGAGCGCGAGGCGCAGATGGCGCGGGCGAAGGAGGTGACTCCGACGCTCGTGCTCGCGGCCCAGCCGCCAGCCGAGCAGCTCTACGGCTCCCCAGCCTCGCTACTGTACCAGCCGCACTCGGGACCCGTCTACGGGGTCGCCTTCTCGCCCTTCCACCGCCACGTCTTCCTCTCCGTCTCGACCGACGCGTCGGCCCGCCTCTTCAGCCTGCTCTCGCCGCAGCCGCTGCTCGTCACCGAGCCGAGCGCCGCGCCGCTCTACTCGTGCTCGTGGTCGCCCGCGCGGCCGTCGGTCTTTGCGGTGGGGGGCGCCGACGGGCAGCTGCACGTGTACGACCTGAGGCGGTCCAGGGGCAAGCCTGAGCTCGCGCTCAAGGTGACGGGCGACGGCTCGGCTGTGTACGCCGTCGCCTTCAACCCCGCCGAGCCCTCCCTGATCGCCACGGCCGACGGCCAGGGCATTGTGAAAATCTGGAGGCTCTCCCGCGCGCTCTCCTCGATGGCGCCGCGCGAGCAGGAGGCGTTCGATCGGCTGGCTGGGGCGCGGACGGAGGAGGCGGAGGCGGTCGCGGGGGAGGAGGAGGAGGAAGAGGAGAAGCGGGGAGGTGGAGGTGAGAGGAGCATGCTACTAGACGACTTGTCCATGAGGCAAGGGCACAGACTGTGATGTGACGCGTGCATCGAGGCGAAGTTGCGGGGGGGGGGGGGGGGGGGGGGGGGGCCCCCCCCGGAACTCCCCCACATCCCCATTACTTTGGACCCCAAAACTTAAGCGCCCTTTAAAAAACTTTTGAAAAAATTTCCCCCCGGGGCCCTTTTAAAAAAAAACCCCTCTCCAAAACCCCAGTTGGAAATTTAACCCCCCCCTTCCCCTGGCGGTTCCCCTGGCGGTTTTGCTTGCCGTCCCCCCGGGTGGGGGTTCCCCCGGGGGGCCCCCCCAGGTGGTTCTAAACTCCCCCCCCCTGGTGGCCCTTCTTCTGATCGCTCGCTACGCGATCAAGCACACTGTCGCCGGACGTCGCCTGTGGCAGCACCGCGTCGAGCCAACCATGATGCACCTCGGTGGCCGGGTCCGAGGGAAGCGGCGCGGCATCGCCGGCTTCCGCGTGCGAGGCAACAAGCCCACTGCGACTGCGCGGACTGTGCGCGCGGGTGCGCCGTCGGCCGCGCTTGTCGCCGACGCGGCGGCGTACCTGAAGCGCTCGCACGCCCTGGGCGGCGACGCGGCCGCCCAGATGGACGCCATACACTCGCTCAACGACGCGGCGATTGCGGCCGAGGAGGTGGCGGAGGAGGACGTCCCTCGCGCCTCGAGCTTGGAGCTCGCCTCGCTGCCGCTCAAGCGAGCGGCCGACGTTGCGGCGCCGCCTCCCGACGGCAAGGGCGGAGGAGAGGGCAGCAGCACGGACGCCGGCGACGGCGCCGCCGCCCGGGCGGAGGCGGAGGCGGCAAAGAGGGCGGCGGCGCAGGCGGCGGCGTGCCTCTCTGGTGTTGTGAGCTCGGTCGGCGCGACCTCCGTCTCCGAGATGGTCGCCGCAGTCGCCCACGAGGAGGGAGGCGCCCGTTTCGATGCTGGGCCGCAGCAGCTCGCCGAGAGCCTGACGCGCGACCCGACCGACGGCTTCGGGCTCGAGAGCCAGGGAGACGCCGGCGCCGGCGCGGCACCCCTCTCGCACCTCCTCCGCACCCCTGCCTGTAGGCTGGAGCTGCACAGGGACGAGCAGGGCAGGCCCGCCATCGCTGCCGTCTCCGGCGCGGCGAGGCGATCGGCGCTCCGCGCGGGCGACCGCATCATCTCTGTGGGCGGGCAGCCGACCGCGCGCCACGAGGAGGCGCTCGCCGCGATCCGAGCCTCGGGCGACGACCTGCTGCTGCTTGTGCTGCGAGACCCGGAGGCGTGCCCCCCCCCCCCCCCCCCGCGCCCGCCCCGCCCCGCCCCTCCTCTCTCCGCTCCCCGCTCGGTCCGCTCCGCCCCCAGCCGCCGACCCCTGCTCCTCCCTGCACACACTCAGGCACGGCCGGTGGTCGCACAGGGCCTCGGCCTTGACGCTGCGGGAGGCGATCTGCAAGACATGGAGCTGTGATCTCCGATTGTGCTGCTTTATTTTCGGGACACGCAGCTCTAGTGAGCGCCGACTCTGAACTGAAGTTTCAGGTCGTTTTTTAAAACACCGTACGTCGTAACACCGCGGCCGCGGCGTCGGACCGTTTTGGTCGGTCGTCGGAGCGCGCGCACGATCGTGCGGACAGCACACGGAGAGATCGGAGTCGGACTCGCACTCGGAGGACGGAAGCCCGCGCAAGCGCATAGAGAGTCTCGGAGAAGTAAAGGACATGTCAGTTCGTCACATCTCGTCGTAGTGTTACGTTATTGCGGCTTTTGCCCCCACGGCTCAAGTCCACACAACTCACCGCGGCGCGGCCCGGGCGGCCATACTGGGCTCTACAACCCCCCCCCCGCCCCCCTCTCCCCCCTCTTCATCTCGCACTGAACACGTCGCGACAAAGACTGCATTCATTCTCTCCCAATCCCACTAACAGAGTCACACAGATTGTGGCACCCAGAATCATCGGTTCAAATCGGCTCCGACGACAAACACTCGTCGAGAGCCACCCAGCGACCCATCAGCGTCCACGGCAATCGAGCCGGCCCGGACCACATCAGAGCGCGCCGCCCCAGGCGAGCGAGGCGGCGTCGAGGCTGGCGCACGGGCGCCGCAAGTCCTCGGACCGCGACCGCGACTTGCGCGGCGGGGCGGCTTGCTCCTCCTCCTCCTCCTCCTGGCCATCGTCCACCAGCGCCGCCATCGGCGCCGGCGCCGGCGGCTGCTCCTTTCCGGGCTTGAGCTTGTTCCAGAGCTCGGCCAAGCCCTCGAACGACGCCGCGGGGGCGAAGAGCGGCACCGCGGGCGCGCTGCCCGGCCGCGGGGCGCTCGCCGCCGCGCGGAGAAGCGGCACGCCAGCCGGCGGCGGCTCGCGGCTGGGCGCGCGGCGCGGGGGCGCGGAGCAGGTAGCATAGTCGACCTCGCCCGGCGACGAGTCGAGCAGCTCGCTCTTGGACGGACTCCGCTGCAGCGGCGCCGAGGGGCAGCGAGCCTCGTCCCCGCTCCTGCGCCGGGCGCCGCTCGCAGGGCTGGCCGAGCAGCCCGGCGCCGAGGACGGCGGTGCGGCGGCGGGGGCAGCCCACAGCTTGCTTCTCGGCGTGGGGGCGGCCGCCGTCGCAGCCTCGACAGGCAACTCTGGGGAGAGCACCTGAGGCGAGGCGAGGCCGGGTGGTGTGAGGCTGTGGCGGCGGCGCTGGCGCAGTCGGGGGGCTGAGGGAGGAGGGGGTGGGGGGGTTGTGATTCGGCATCGCACCGGCTGCAACTGCGACGTGGCGCCAGCCTCGCGGCTAGGCACGCCGCGGTGCCGCATCCCGCCCATCCGGGTCCACGGGTCGCCGAGCACCGCCGCCCCCTTGACGCGCCGCTCCGCGCCCCACGGCTCAGCGGAGTCCATCGCCGCCGCCGGCGTGGGCGGCCGGGGGGCGGCCGGCTGCGGCGACCTCCGCTGCCGGCCGAGGCGGAGGGAGAGGGAATGCAGCGCGTCGCGGAGGGCGGAGAGGCGCTCTCCGAGGCCTTCCACGCGCGAGCTGAAGCCGGAGCCGATGCGCGATTTGAGCTGCCGCTCGAGCGCGCCGCGGGCCACCTGCGGGCCGGGGGGGGGGGGGGGGGGAAAGCCCGTTGGGGGAAGGGGGTTCGGAAACGGGTCGGGGTGGGTGGACAGTCCGAGGGGGACACGCCGCCATAGACATCATGTGACATAGACTAGATCATCACCGGGTCGCGTGACGAGTCTTGCAGCAGCCGCGAGAGAAGCCCCGGGTGCTGCACGCCTGCTCGCAGAGTCAGAGTGTGAACGACAACGCCTCCCCAGCCGCAGAGGGGCGGAGGGAGGCCCGGCTGCTGCGCGCCGGTCGCGCCGCGCCCCCCGAAGAGCACGCGCTGCCTACTCGCACCCATCTCCTTGTTAATTAGCAGTTAATAGCAGTTAACTAGCAGTTAATTAGCACGCGCTGCCTACTCGCACCCATCTTCTTGTTGCGTGCTGCCTTCCTTGCACTCGGGCCTCTCGGAAAGAGCGCTGCCTCAGCTCCTCCTCTGTGCCTAGGAAGCCGCGCACGAGGAAGGGAGCCTCGCCGAGCGACAGCGCGTACCCCTTGATCGAGACGTGCACCTGACGCTGCCAGCAGCTCGGTGTCGCCACTCTCGCCATTCTCCCAACCCTCGCTGTGAGTTGGTCGAGAGGTGCGCCTGCCGCAGCAGCAGCCGGCCGACGCGGTAACGAGTTGCCTCGGCGAATCGTCGCTCCGACGCGATGCTCTGCGCCTCTTGTGCCTTGCCCGTCTTGCGCATCTTTTGCGCCTGCGGGCTCCGGCAAGGCTCCGGCAAGGCTCCGGCGAGGCTCCGGCGAGGCTCCGGGGAAGCTGCAGGAAACGTCTCGGCTGCATCTCTGCTGCGTCTCGGCTGCATCTCGGCTGCATCTCGCGCCTCGACCCTCGCGCGCCACTTCGCGTTGGCCGCCTACCGGACGGCCCGAGGGTCCCAAGGGTCCCCGGGGAAGCCCGCCCCTCCCCCCCTCGCCCCCCGCCGCCGGGCGCTGGCCTGCATGCGCTCGCGGATCGCGCCGACGATCTGCGAGCCAGGCGCGTGCCTATTAACTGTTCATTAACTGTTAATTAACTGTTCATTAACTGCTCATTAACTGTTCATTAACTGTTCATTAACTGTTCATTAACTGTTCATTAACTGTTCATTAACGATCTGCGAGCCAGGCGCGTGCCTATTAACTGTTCATTAACTGTTCATTAACTGTTCATTAACTGTTCATTAACGATCTGCGAGCCAGGCGCGTGCCTATTAACTGTTCATTAACTGTTCATTAACTGTTCATTAACTGTTCATTAACTGTTCATTAACGATCTGCGAGCCAGGCGCGTGCCTATTAACTGTTCATTAACTGTTCATTAACTGTTCATTAACTGTTCATTCACTGCTCATTAACTGTTCATTAACGATCTGCGAGCCAGGCGCGTGCCGTGAGGCGGCGAGGATCGAGCGCAGCTCCTCCTCCTGCGCACAGACAGCACGGCGTGAGCCGACGCGGTTCACAGCGGCGACGCCTCACCCAGCGCCTCTGCCTTGTCCCCCTCCTCTTCGTCGCTCTCCGCCTCCTCGCCCTCGCCCTCCCCGCCCTCCTCCGCCCTCTCGCCTCCCCCGCCACCGCCGCCGCCCGCGCCGCCGCTGCCGCTCGCGCCGCTGGCGCATCCGCCGTTTGCGCTGCCTCCACCACCGCTGCTGCCGCAGCCTCCGCCGCCTCCGCCTCCGCCGCCTCCACCGCCGCCTCCGCCCCCACCCCCGCCTCCGCCTCCGCCCGCCAACTCCGCCTCCACCGAGCCGCCCGAGGGGCCAGGCCCGCCCGACCACCGCATCTGCCACTCGCGGAGCTCGGCGCGCGCAAACTCGCGCCGCCCGCGCTTGGCCCGCAGCAGCCTGCTCCGCTTCGCCTGCGCCACCGACCGGAGCCGAGATGTGCCGAGATGTGCCGAGATGTGGATCCGAGACCATCCGAGACCGGCGCTGCTTGCCTGCGCCATCGACCAGAGCGTGTCCACCCAAGGAGCGTTGACGGGCACCGGCGCGGGAGACGCGTCGCCGCTTTCGCCCGCCGCCGACGCACCGCTCGCTGCCGCCGCCGACACCCCCGCCGCGTCTTCCGCACCGCCGCTGCAGCAGCCGCCGGCTGCGGTAGGGGCGACGGCGCTGCCGGCGGCGGCGCCGGGGGCGGCGTTGCCGGCGGCGATGGGGGAGGCTGCTGCGGCACTGGGCTGGTAGGCGAGGGTTGGGAGGGGCGAGCCGTTCCTCCCCGCCTCGCCCGCCGCCTTTGCGCCTCGCGCGGGTGTGGACCCTCCCCTTGCTCCGTCGCCGGAGCGCGCGTCCCGAGCCGCCTCGAGAAAGAGAGACGCCTCCTCGAGCTCGAAGGTCTCGATGTCGCGCGTGCGGAAGCCAAAGACGACCGAGCCGCCCAGGTAGCGGTTCAGGCCGGAGAGGGACGCCCATCCAAACAGGCCGCCGGTCGAGAAGGCGAAGCGCTCCACCCGCAGCGCGTAAGGCGCCTGCCACACGCCGGGCGAGTTGCCCACCTCGAGGCCGCGCACCTGCAGGCCGTGGCGGCGGAACGAGAGGCGTTCGAGCGCAATGTACTCGACGCCCAGCACGCGAGGCAGCCGCAGCGTCACGTACAAGCGCACGGCGAGCTCGACCCACTCCCAGCCGACCCAGAGCAGCCCGCAGGCAGCGAGCAGCACGAGAACGAGCCACGGGTAGAAGAAGAGCACGACAGCCAGCGTCACTAGGAGTAGCGCGAGTAGCCGGGAGAGGGAGAGCATTGGCGGCGCAGACGATTGCTCGGCCCGTCGAGGGTGCTCGGGGGCCTGTCCCGCCGCGCCGGGGCGCACTCTCAAGGCAAGTAAAGAATCTTAGAAGCGAACTCCCTCGCACAACACTGGGCACGTAAATCCCTGTGTGGTGGCGGCGTGCCGTTCTCCCATCCCTCCCTTGGGTTGTGTGTTTTCTTTCTTTCTTTACACTGGGCACGGGACTGGCGCGCACTGCAAGTAAAGAAATTTCTAGGGATTCCGCGCGCATCTCCCTCTTAACCCACCTCTAACATCACAACATGGAATTCCTAGCGTCGTGCAAGCAAAGAATCGAAAAAGGCAGCCTCTAAACACACTGGCACAACAAGGGCGCAGACTGGCGCGGACTGGCACACACACTGGCACACCACCGGAGCCGCCTAGGTTGACAAATCCGTCGTGAACATGTACTTGGTCGATGCAGCAATTACATTCCGCAAAGGCTCTTCAGCGTCTGATGGTAGGTGGGATGCAATTTAGCGTCGTGCCCCAATAGACGTTGCTCAGTCTGCGTGCGACACGATGGCGACCGATCATCGTGAAGAGTCCCTGTGCGGCGTGATGATGACTAACCCACCACGACGGGTGCACTTTAACGCCTTGCCCAGGGCGGCGCCGGCTTGGTAGTTCAAATGTTCCACCAAGCCAGAGCTCTGGTAGTGGGTTGAGGGCGGTAATCACGCTACAGCCGCTCGGGAAGAAGCGTGTGGAGGCAGGAGACGTGCGCGAGTCGATGAAGGAACGCGTCGCGGCGGCGAGGTGGCGAGGTAGCAGCGGCAGCGGCTTCGGTCGTGGCGCCATCCGCTATCGGCGGCGAAGCGAGAGTAGAGATGAGATTCGAACCGGGCACCGTCTCGAGCGACACGGCCGAGAGATGAGGGGGTCGTGCGCTCGTGAAGCCGGTATCCGGCGAGTCGGCAGTGGAGACACCGTCGAGCGCGTCAGGTGAGCAGTCTGCGGCTGCGGCTCTGGCTGCGGCGTTATCCGCTATCGGCGGCGAGGGCGTGAGGTTTTTGCGTCGTTCGTACCGGTACGGTCGAGGTTTCCTGGCACGATTCGATCGGCGGCGAGTAGACGGCGGAAGGCTCGAGTAGGAGCCGAGCGGAGCGGAGGCGGCGTCGAGCGCGACGAGCGACGTGGCAGCGGCAGCGGAGACAGACGCAACACCAGCCTCGAATGGCGGATCGCGTGAATCAGCAGGCTGGCACGTAGACGGCGCGGCGGACGGCGGCGCGACGGGCGAAGAGGCGAGCGGCGGAGCCGATGGCGAGGAGCTCGAGCGGGAGCCGGGCGAAGCGGAGGAAGCGTCGAGCGCGACGAGCGACGTAGCAGCGGCAGCGGAGACAGACGCAACACCAGCCTCGAATGGCGGATCGCGTGAATCAGCAGGCTGGCACGTAGACGGCGCGGCGGACGGCGGCGCGACGGGCGAAGAGGCGAGCGGCGGAGCCGATGGCGGGGAGCTCGAGCGGGAGCCGGGCGAAGCGGAGGAAGCGTCGAGCGCGACGAACGACGTAGCAGCGGCAGCGGAGACAGACGCAACACCAGCCTCGAATGGCGGATCGCGTGAATCAGCAAGCTGGCACGTAGATGGCGCGGCGGACGGCGGCGCGACGGGCGAAGAGGCGAGCGGCGGAGCCGATGGCGGGGAGCTCGAGCGGGAGCCGGGCGAAGCGGAGGAAGCGTCGAGCGCGACGAACGACGTAGCAGCGGCAGCGGAGACAGACGCGACACCAGCCTCGGGTGGCGGATCGCGTGAATCAGCAAGCTGGCACGTAGACGGCGCGGCGGACGGCGGCGCGACGGACGGAGAGGCGAGCGACGGAGCCGATGGCGGGGAGCTCGAGCGGGAGCCGGGCGAAGCGGAGGAAGCGTCGAGCGCGACGAACGACGTAGCAGCGGCAGCGGAGACAGACGCAACACCAGCCTCGAATGGCGGATCGCGTGAATCAGCAGGCTGGCACGTAGACGGCGCGGCGGACGGCGGCGCGACGGGCGAAGAGGCGAGCGGCGGAGCCGATGGCGGGGAGCTCGAGCGGGAGCCGGGCGAAGCGGAGGAAGCGTCGAGCGCGACGAACGACGTAGCAGCGGCAGCGGAGACAGACGCAACACCAGCCTCGAATGGCGGATCGCGTGAATCAGCAGGCTGGCACGTAGACGGCGCGGCGGACGGCGGCGCGACGGACGGAGAGGCGAGCGGCGGAGCCGGTGGCGAGGAGCTCGAGCGGGAGCCGGGCGAAGCGGAGGAAGCGTCGAGCGCGACGAACGACGTAGCAGCGGCAGCGGAGACAGACGCGACACCAGCCTCGGGTGGCGGATCGCGTGAATCAGCAAGCTGGCACGTAGACGGCGCGGCGGACGGCGGCGCGACGGGCGAGGAGGCGGGCGGCGGAGCCGATGGCGGGGAGCTCGAGCGGGAGCCGGGCGAAGCGGAGGAAGCGTCGAGCGCGACGAACGACGTAGCAGCGGCAGCGGAGACAGACGCAACACCAGCCTCGAATGGCGGATCGCGTGAATCAGCAGGCTGGCACGTAGACGGCGCGGCGGACGGCGGCGCGACGGACGGAGAGGCGAGCGGCGGAGCCGATGGTGGGGAGCTCGAGCGGGAGCCGAGCGGCGCGGAGGCAGCGTCCGGCGCGCCGAGCGACTTCGCACACCCGCTGTAGTACTGGTCCCAGCATCGGTCCCTGACCTCGGCTCGTATTTTGCCGCGCATCAGCCGTGTGGATGCGCGAGTGAAGACGCCGTACGCTGCGTCAAGAGCCCACGCCTCTTCGTCCTCGCGCCCATCGCGGCATCTGCAGAAACCCCAGCGCTGCCAGAGCGCGACGCTGCCCAGTTCTGCGGCGATCAAGACCCGCCCACCGTCGGCAATCGCCTTGAGTTCGGTCATCATCGCCTCGCCGATGCCCTGGCCCCGGAACTCGCGACGAGTCGCAAATGCCGGGCAGTAGAGGCGGGTCTGACAAACCAGCATGCAGCTGACAAACCAGCATGCAGCGAGGAGTTCCCTCTGCTCGTTCAACGCGACGAGCGTGCGGTAGCCGCGGCGGTAGTCTAATAGCGTAGCGGGCCACTCGTCGAAGCTCTCCTTCATAAGCTGCTCGACGTCACGGACCAGACATGCTGGCGCATCCCTGCCGAGGATCTCGAAGGTTAAGGAGATGCTCGCCTCCTTGCCAGCAGAGTCGGCGTTGAAGGTGCCGCCTGCCTTGCCAGCGGCTGCTGCCTCGGCCGCGACATCATCCGTAATCGGAGAGACGAGCGAGGCGTCGGGAGGCGTGCCGGATGCCGGACCGACAGGCGCCAAAAAATCCGAATCGCTCCTTGCCCTGCCCCCTGCCCTGCAGGCTCCATTCCCCGGCGAGGGGGAGGCGTACGTAGAGTTGACAGTAGCAGCGGTCTCAGCTGCGACATCAGCCCCAGAGGGCGGGTCGCGTGAGACGGCGGACTGGAAGCTGTGCGGCGGCTCGACTGACGGCTCGACAGTCAGCGAAGCAGGGGAGCTCGGTCGCGTAGGCGCTGGTGATCGAATGATGTCGAGATAGTTGCGTGCACCGGGCGCGCCTGACTGCGGTAGCGGCACTGGTGCTGGTGGCTGTCCTGCGGCGGCCAGCAGAGGCGATGGTGGAGGTGATACACCGAGGTTCTGGGCAGGTTCCCGCACGCCCAAAGCCTCGTCGGGTGTTCGTCCAAGCTCTGTTGATTCGTATCGTTGTTGCGTGCTGCTCGCGTCCCGCTGCGAGTTCACTGCAATTGGCCTGAACGCTGCCACGGTCAAGCCAAACCCTTCCGGGTCTGTTGGGGCTTCCGTCGGAGAAGGGCTCGCCGGCAGCCTGGCAGAAGGCATTCCAGCTGGCGTAGCCTCCTCCCCAACGGAGCCAGGCGGCGATGACTTGTCAAGTACATCGATGCCGCCCTTGGGCTCGGTGTTGCCACCAAGCCTGCCCAACGTGGTGTCGTGGGGATTGAAGTGGTCTGACCAGTAAGAAGACGGGTCGAGGCCCTCCGTAGGCTCGTGAGGCGTCCCTCGTCCCCCTTCTGCAGAGGGATGGTCATCTGAACCCGAAGATCGGTGCCCAGCAAGTGTGAGTGGTGAGCCGCGTGCACGGCTCTGCGGTATTGCTGACCGCTGGTGAGGTTGTAAAGCCATCCTCGATCCGGGTGCCGTCTCAGACGACTGTAGATTGGTATAAGGTATAAGGAACTCGTATCCGAGTGGTTAAAGGGAATGGCGTGGTGTCACGCCGGGTTGTGTGTGTCACATGACACAAAGAGGTCGACTGTCTCGCGGCGCGGCGGCCCCACGAGAAGCAGTCAGAGACAATGACGTGCCAATGTTTGGGCGCCTATTCGGCGCCCGACGGAGGTGCCAATGTTAGGGATCTGAGTGGCGTGACGTGCCACTGCACAGGGTGTGGGAATATAGGGATCTAGGTAGACTATTCATCACTGTGGTGGGGAGAGAGAGTGATAATAGGGGTGCTGAGGTGGGGCTGGTGGAGGTGATTCTCCGGATCAGTCTGGAGGTCATTCTCCACCACCTCCTGCGACAACCCATGTCTGTATGGCCGTCGAGGCTGCCTTCCCCACTACCTGTAGTTCACTCGTCTCACCTCCCCCGCGAGCTCCCTTTTCTTTCTTTCGGGTATGGGGTCCGTGAGTGCGGGCAGCGTGCATCGTGCATGCAATCACGGGCGCTATTTTGTCGTACTCCTCTTCGGCGAGTGCTCCAAATCATCGTCCGAGGGAAAAGAAAGAAAGAAAGAAAACAGACAACCCAAGGGAGGGACACGGAGGACGGCCGCCGCCACCACACAGGGATTTTAAGAAGAGGTGTGTGATGCGCTAGCCGTCGCCCACCCTAGGGAGTCTGCCTCTTCCTATCTCTCTTCGCAGTCTCTCGCCGCTTCTCGCTGCAACCTTCTTCATGCCACCTCGCGGTCGTCCCACTCTCATCGTTCTCTCCCTTGTCACTTCCTCCTCTGTCGCGTCGTTCTCTTCTGCCTCGTCCTGCGACGCCGTTGTGCGCTTGGAGTTTGTTTTGGTATTAACTGGTAAATTCTGCATTTGGCCTTCGGCATACACATCACCGCGCCAGCTCCCACCTGGCTGCCCCGAGCCGAGTTTACGTCCAAGAACGAGCTCCTACCCTGGCGCAGCGGCGGTTCACGACGGTGGTCCACAAAGCTCTTCTTCCTGCTGACAAGCCCAGGGCTGCGAACCTCGTATATGCCACTCCTCGCGTCGCTGCTGCTCGCTCCGGCCCAGGTCGTGCTCGACCCGTCCGGCATTGCGATGCCCATGTTTGACGCGGAGAGGCGCTTCCACGAGAACGTCGCGCGCTCGCGCTGGTCTGCCAACACCATGGAGTACGTCGACGGCGTGTCGTCGTCGGTGCTGCGGCATCCGTACACGATCGCGCACGCCGCCGCGAGTGAGCTCTTCGTCGCCTCGTTCACGCTCAACCACGTCGTGCGGCTGCGCTGGATCGACGGCAAGCGCGCGCAGTACAAAGTGTTTGTCAAGGGACGAGACCTCGACGGCCCGGTCGGGATGGCGCTTGACCACGCCGGCTCGCTCTTCATCGCCTCCTTCACGAACGACGTCGTGCTGCGCGTCAACGCGTCGGACGGGGCGCTGCTCGACCGGATCGGCGACGAGGAGAGCCTCGACTGCCCCGAGGGGCTCGCCCTCTCGCCCGACGGCCGCCTCTTTGTCGCCTCCTTCCTCCTGCCGCACCTGTCCGTCTTTGACCCGCAGAGCGGCGCCTTCCTCGGCAGATTTGGAGCGCTGGCGCCGCAGCCGGCGCAGGCGGCGCCGCGGCCGGCGCCCTCGCTCGCCGGCGCAGAGGACGTCGCCTTTGACTCGGAGGGCGCGGTGCACGTCAGCGCCTACTACAGCTCGGCGGTCTACAAGTTCGACGCGCAGAGCGGCGCGCTGCTCGCCGTGTACGGCCAGGGCCTCGTCAGCGGTCCGGTCGGCATCGCCTGCGACCCGTCCTCGGGAGACATGTTCGTGTCCTCCTACCGCGACGATAAGGTGCTGCGCTTCACGCCCGGAGGCGCCTTCGTCGGCGTCGCCGCCGGCGCAGACGTGTCGCCCGACGGCGAGGCGGGCGCCGCGCAGGCGGAGCTGCGGGCGAGGAGGCAGCGGCGTGGCGCCACGATCCGCAGCCCGAGCGGCCTCTCCTTCGACCCGCACGACGGCACGCTCTGGGTCGCCTCGTACGCCACGGGCGCGGTGACACGCTTCAACAGCAGCGCGTGGGGCGGCGGCCGCACCTGGCGGGTGACCGACTGACCGTAGCGACTGACGCGCGGCGGCGAGTTACTATGAGTGCACTGCGCGTGCGCGTTCGGCTCTCTAGATAGGGGGCTCTGCTCTCGTCTAGACTGATAGGCCAAAGGCAAATCTCTCTATCACTATCTGTGTACTTGGAGCACTTGGAGTGCAGTTATCAACCTCACATCCAGGGCCGGGGAGCTCAGATGTGTACAAAAAAGCGATTCGGCTAGTTGTAGTTCCATTTCTACACTGTGGCATCGGAGATAGCCGCGCAGCGGCTATGTAGGTTATCCGACAACGCGAGGAGAGGAACCGACAAACCCAACCCACCGTGAGGGGGGAACTGTGACTCAATCGTCACCTAACTAACAAACCCAAGTAGACGGCCGACAGCAAGTGGCCTGACCCGGCGAAAAGTCAGACACACGAGCAAGGGGGGGGACAAGCGTAAAAAGGGACGGAAGTCGAGAGCGCTCGCAAAGAGGACGCGGCGGCGGCCAATGGCCACATCATCAGCATCACCGCCCGCACCACCGCCCTCTCCCGCCGTCCCGCCGCCTTTGGTTACCCGCGACGGCGCCGCTATGCCGCTCGGCGGCGATCGACTGCAGAATGACACGCCGCCCATGCTGATCGGTCCGCCGCCTCTGGCTACCCGCGATGGCTCCGCGTTGTAATCAAGTCGATGCAAGTCAAGGCTCGCGAGCAAGCCCCCCACTTGTGCTCAGGTTCTGCCTTCTGAATGCACTCTCCCTTCCCCGCGCTTTCGCAGGTCCATCCCACATGGGCCCCGCGGGGGAGGCGCCGGCGGTGGTGACAGAGGCGCAGGGCTGGCGGCTGCACCTCTCGAGTCGCAGCAGCACCGGCTACGCAGGCGTGCGCAAGCAGGAGCAGGCGTCGGGCTCGCGCGGCTGCCGACTTCCCTGGGCGTCGGGCCGCTTCGCGGCGTACCACACGGTGGACGGACGACGGGTTTACATCGGCTCTTCGACTCGGCGGTGGAGGCGGCGTTGGCACGCGCGGGCGGAGGGGTCGGTGGACGGACAGGTCGCCGCCCGCCGGGCGCGAGGTGCGCTAGACTGGGAGACCACCTCACTATGGGGCCTGGACCCAGTTCTCATGATTGTACATGACTACATGACTAGCGATGTGTTATAGTTCCTCTTGTGTAAGTAAGACGCGATCCCGCCCAAGGGGCGTCTACTTGGGTTTGTCCGCGACACATCGCGGGAGATACCGCCCAAGTCTCGCGGCACGGGGAAACCCGCAAATCCATCCCCGCCGGGGCGTAAATCGGTCCGGGGCAGCCCTCGTTACGTTCCGCGCGCGCCGAACGAGCGTTTGTCGGACCCTCGCGCTTCTAGGCGCCCGAGTCCTGTTCTCGTCTGCGGTGTTGTGTGGTGGTATCGTCGCGATGCTACGCCAGTGGGACACTGGCGAGGCTCTTCGAGCCGACGGTGCCGCTGCAGTCCCACACGTTCCGCCGCAATACCGCCGCCGCTTTCCGCACATTGCCAGATGGTCTGTGGCCGCCGTAACGCCAGATGCAGTTAGTGCAGTCAGTGCAGGCAACGCTTATACTGACGCGGCGTACAAAAGGGACAAGCCTTTCTGGCCTGGCCTCCCATCAGGCGGGCCACGATCAGACAGTCGTGCACCTTGGCTCTCTCCCAGCCCCGCAACCCGCCGCCGCTCAACAGCTGAGCCGAGGTGGCTGAGAGAGCTGGCTGAGAATGAAGAGCTCACAGTCAGGCGACTTGCATGCGGAGGGCATGCTGAGTGCATGATGCGAGCGCTGGGCAACAGCGTATTACGCGAGCGTGTCATGGGCAGTAGCCGTCAAGGACAACAGCGTTTGTCATGGGCAACAGCCTGTCAGGGGCAACAGCCTGTCAGGGGCAACAGCTTATATGTCATGGGCAACAGCCTGTTAGGGGCAACAGCCTGTCAGGGGCAACAGCTTATATGTCATGGGCAACAGCCTGTCAGGGGCAACAGCCTGTCATGGGCAACAGCTTGTGTGTTGGGCAACAGCCTGTCAGGGGCAACAGCCTGTCATGGGCAACAGCTTACATGTCATGGGCAACAGCCTGTCAGGGGCAACAGCCTGTCATGGGCAACAGCTTATATGTCATGGGCAACAGCCTGTCAGGGGCAACAGCCTGTCAGGGGCAACAGCTTATATGTCATGGGCAACAGCCTGTCAGGGGCAACAGCCTGTCAGGGGCAACAGCTTATATGTCATGGGCAACAGCCTGTCAGGGGCAACAGCCTGTCATGGGCAACAGTTTATATGTCATGGGCAACAGCCTGTCAGGGGCAACAGCCTGTCATGGGCAACAGCTTATATGTCATGGGCAACAGCCTGTCAGGGGCAACAGCCTGTCATGGGCAACAGCTTATATGTCATGGGCAACAGCCTGTCAGGGGCAACAGCCTGTCAGGGGCAACAGTGAGTGGCTGACGCCTGAGTGGCTGACGCCTGAGTGGCTGACGCCTGAGTGGCAGACGCCTGAGTGGCTGACGCCTGAGTGGCCTCGGCTGACGCCTGAGTGGCCTCGGCTGACGCCTGAGTGGCCTCGGCTGACGCCTGAGTGGCCTCGACTGACGCCTGAGTGGCCTCGACCGACGCCTGAGTGGCCTCGACTGACGCCTGAGTGGCCTCGACTGACGCCTGAGTGGCCTCGACCGACGCCTGAGTGGCCTCGACGACGCCTGAGTGGCCTCGACTGACGCCTGAGTGGCCTCGACTGACGCCTGAGTGGCCTCGACTGACGCCTGAGTGGCCTCGACCGACGCCTGAGTGGCCTCGACCGACGCCTGAGTGGCCTCGACCGACGCCTGAGTGGCCTCGACCGACGCCTGAGTGGCCTCGACCGACGCCTGAGTGGCCTCGACCGACGCCTGAGTGGCCTCGACTGACGCCTGAGTGGCCTCGACTGACGCCTGAGTGGCCTCGACCGACGCCTGAGTGGCCTCGACTGACGCCTGAGTGGCCTCGACTGACGCCTGAGTGGCCTCGACCGACGCCTGAGTGGCCTCGACCGACGCCTGAGTGGCCTCGACCGACGCCTGAGTGGCCTCGACCGACGCCTGAGTGGCCTCGACCGACGCCTGAGTGGCCTCGACTGACGCCTGAGTGGCCTCGACCGACGCCTGAGTGGCCTCGACCGACGCCTGAGTGGCCTCGACTGACGCCTGAGTGGCCTCGACCGACGCCTGAGTGGCCTCGACCGACGCCTGAGTGGCCTCGACTGACGC